TGTTTCTAGCACCCGCGTGAGCCTTAGCCACCATTGAAAGGTGACCTGTCGTCTGTTAGTTTGCATCGGAGACAACGGGCAAGCGACAGATCTATATCCAATATCTTGGCTAAGGCTCTCGCTGCGTCGCTCGCTACCCATCGTGGTTGTGTACCCGCTGTGTGCAGCCAAGCACAGGATCTGTGGTATCAAACGTTTACGTGGCAGCAAGTAGCATTTCTGCGAGTTCCTGGCTATCGTGAACGGCTCCAGGTTAGTCGCGAGCAGTGCCCCGATTCCCAGTCTCCGTAGTTAGAGGCTTCGCACGTGCGATAGCTTTCGGAAAGCAGACGTCCATCTAGAGTATGGAGGTCTCTATGGAATCTTTGTTGTAACAATAACATTTCTAGCCCCATCATATCTGTTCTAGTACTCTAACTATATTTCATCATTTAAAACTAGGCTAACTTTGTTCGTGTTATTCCAGTGAACTTGATCCAGCACTTGACATCGGAGCTCAAGACTCTGAGTGGGGTCACATTCGTACAATGGAGTGATAGGCAGTCAGCCAGTCTGACTCGGTCTCGTCACATCGCTCGAAACTTCCGATAGCGTTCCCTCTGAGAACCAACTGAATGACGATTCAGTGCGTACGTGCTGTGATTTGCAACAAGCAGTCGTGTCGTTGCGCGCGTTACTTCAAGTAATTTTTCTTCGTATGAAAGTAATACCTACGTCGCAGCGCCAAGTTTTGGCATAAACCATTTCCACACCGAACGTTGTGTTGAAAGATATCCCCAGTCATGCGTTTTCATAATCCTGCTAGTGTAATATGCCGAGTTCGAATTAGATTGAATATATAAAGTCCAAAACCAACACAGATTGCTTCCCAAGTTATACCTCTTCTAAGAACAGTTGAGTTGCCGACCACCCGAGAAGGGTTAACTCGGATATTGTGATAAGCATCTGCTAGGCTAGAAGATCGCCATTCGAAATCGCCTTTTTCACTTACGACGATAATAGAAATGAGTTTGATGAAGAAGTGAGATGCGGCCGGTTCTATCGACACCTTAACAGAGAACCGATGAAAGATCGAGCATTGAAATTTACCGCCGTATCGTCAGGAGAGGTAAAGCCTATGGGCGGCAGCCGCAGAGGTGCATCCAACAGATCAGCATGAACAGCAGCAGTGGAGAAAACCTGTCACGATCTAGGATCTCACACAGCTTGCAAACGGCTATGCTCACCTCGGGATGCTCGCCAGAGACTGACAACGTCATCACCAGGATGAGAGCTAGTCGAGGATGGAGGAGCATAGGTACCGTAGCTTTGCTGAGCCACCATCTGAGACACTCATACGCAACAGCAAAACACCACTCAAACAGCAAAGACAACAAGAAGAGGAAGAAGAAGAACGAGTTTGCAATGATGCATGAAATGGTACCACAAAATTGTCATAATGCTGATGGAGTAGGAATAGAATCAGCTTTCTGCATGAGGAACCTTACCACGCGTCGTTCACCAAGGCATTGGCAACGCTTTCGGCAATAATATCAACGACCCCTGTGCGCCGGAGAGAAAGGAATGAAGCCAATGCTATAACAGTAGTTTCAACCTGCAGTGTAGGACCTGACCCACATGAGAGACGCCTATGTGTCGATCCCCACTCCAAGGACCCCCTAAGGGTCTTGTGTTTTTCACGCGCGCAATATCGCGACACCGATAGTGATACCGTGTCACTGATACGTGCACGATCGGTCCCATTCGTCGCACCCATCTGTATGGACTCCATACTATGAAGCTCTGTTCGCTAAGTCTTTTCGACACCGTTACGGGTTATTTTTTGAGAGCAGAGTCTGCTCTCAAAAAAGTCTGCTCAGCAGACTGAAGTACAAGTGCTTGGTGAAGATGAGACTGTGTGCTTTAGATGAAACTTTCGTCTGGCTGAAGACCTCTGTTGGTTAAGCGCCTTCTGGGCGTTGTCCAAGTCGGTAACGCAAAACTAGTTTGCGGGACTGTTGCTGCTTCTACCCATTGCGCGCGACGGGCGCCCACGATGGCCCATCGTCGATGGGTAAAATGGCCACCGCAGCGCGGTGACCGCACGTGTGTATTGGTAATCATTCATTACCCCAAGTAGATCAAGACAGGAATCTTTGGAACTCCTCCGGACTAGTGCTGTCGACTATGAGTCACGACTAAGCAACAAACGTCGCATCTCATCTCATATGTATAGCTCACTCTCTTCACGAAAGATCGACTATCAAATTGATAGTCGACAGGGATTGATATCCGTGACGGTACCAATCTGTCACGGATTATCCGTGTGCACGTGTGGGCAAATCTGGTGCAAAGCTAATCATTCGTGCCCTGAATAGACTGAGAAAGAGATCTTCACTATCTCCCCAACTCATGTTAGCGACTATGATTTCGAGCAGCAAGTACTCTTTGCTACCGAGTATCTTCCAATGCTTTGCGCCGTCATCACGTTGCTGTTCGCTGTGGCAACAGCCCTTGCTGATGGAAGTTCGAGGAGTACCTTCGACAGTCTCAAGGCTCAGAACAGTGGGGTTGAGCTCAGCTGCTGCCCGCTCTATCTCTCAATCTTCAGACTTGGCTTATACTCCTGAAGAAGAGCTTCAGCACTTCAATCGCTTCGAGGAAGAGCTACAAGCCAGGCCTGTGCCGTTGTCTTCCGATGAGCTGGCAGAGCTGTACGAGGAGACAAAACCAGCTATCATGCAAAGTCTCGTAGACGAGGTCAACTCTAAACAGAATCTATGGACGGCGTCCACTGAACAAGGGAGATTCTACGGTAGGCTGGTCGGGGCACCATCGGGAGCTGTGTGAACTAATGCTATTCTATTATAGGCGTGTCGTCTGTCACCTTCAGGTAGTTCCCTCGGTGATGCTAAGAAGCTTTGCGGGACATTCCTTAACGGGACTGAAGAGCTCGAGGAGAAGGTCTATCCACCGGAGGAGCTTGTTGACATTCCAGACAGCTTCGATGCCCGCGATGCGTTCAAGGAGTGTAAGGACGTCATGGTCACGTGAGGTAGCTGATATACTT